GCTCAGACACAGCAGTGACAAAACTCTATTTGTGACAGGAATGACATCACTAGGTCCTCCTACAGCCCATCCATTCCCACTCATAATATACTGAGATTATGTAAAAAGAAAGGCCAAAACGGCGCAGTTCGGCGACGGGGGGCATTTTGTACTATCATTGCTTCCTTAGTTCCGGTTTACAAGTCTCACTCTGGCGAAACCTGTGAACTCTTGTGAAGCTGGAGCAAGGTCGTCAAGCCATCATGTTAAAACCTGTCAACTCGAGAAGAGGCTGTCTAGATAGGTCGACATGTGATGGGAAGTAACGAAAGTGCAGAATGTCCCGTCGCCGCAATGCGCCGGTCAAAACTGCACAACTGCTGGATTCCTCATCCGCCGTACTCTGTGAAACTATCCATCGTTCTTCCCCTCCATGCTCACTTGGACGAGCAATAATCAAGGAAATCTAATGACATAGAAAAGTACTGTCCGACAGAATAAGGGTAGTAACTCCCGGCTTCTTACTGACGCTTAGGTCGCGTTCATGGCGACCTTGCAGAAATGGCGAAATGTAGATTAAAGAAAGTGTTCGTATCGATTTGATGAATTGCGGAATTGGGGGCAATGCAGACTTGCGGAATCTGTAGAAATGTCAAAACGACGGGTAAAGACTCCATAAGGATGATCGCTTAGCCTCTCCCCGGGAGAAATGCTGACTGAACTCGAAATTGCAGATTACACATATTTGCATCCCTCCCAATCCGCTGTTCTTCGAATCAATACTATCAATATTCGTTCTTCTACCCGAAATTCCGTCATTTCTTCAAAGGCGTCATGTCTAAACGCTACCTAAAGTGTCATAACGTATTTCTTCGCCGTGAAGGTAGGGACCCCGAGGCCCGAGGATGACCAGTGAAAGGGAAACGCTGGCCGCTCAAACTAATAAGAAACTCCCCTACTATTCCAAATAATCATCCGACATCGGATAGCAGAGTGAAAAAGTCATTGTGTTAACCCGAGTTGAGGACCCAAGTAGTTCTTCCTTCCTGTTCATGAACAAATTTGAAGATACTACCTATCATGAGTAAATAAATTGCTGGACACCCACATGAGCGGCTCTAATTCCCAACGCTATGGGTGCTAAACATCAGCAATGACGGCTGTAGAGGACTCCTAGATGTGCAGAAAAACCTCAAAAATAATAGAAACTGCTCCCATTAGAAGCAGAGCTGGCACGCAATTGCATTGCCGTACCGTTCCGATACTCTGTGCAGTTGTTTTACATTCGGAAAGTCCGAATTTAAGCACTCACCTGCATTAAGCTCCTCATCAGTGATACATATGAATTTACCACGATCATCCATAACTCCCTCCAATATGCCGTTTTCAAGGAAGTACTGTAGTCGAGAAATTGCCTCATCTGATTTTAGACCAAAATGAGCAGCCAATTCATCCATATTGACGACCTGGGCAATGTAAATGAGGTAAGTGGAGACATTTTCAAGCAAACTGGCAAAATAAGCAAAGTTAAGAGTCTAGTACCTTGCTTTTCTTTATGTACTCCGCAAACTCCCTCATGAGATTGTGAGACTCTTCTTCTTCAAGTTGGTCAAAGCCCTCTTCTTCAACGGCAAATGACTCTTTGAGCTGCAATGTTCCTTATAACCTACTCTCCAGCATAATAAACAGCTGCATCGAAAAGTTAACAAAATATTTAAATATATAAAAGTTATCTATTATTGTTTTGTAGTTATCTATTATTATTTAGTTACTTACCTATTATTGTTTTGTATACCTATTTATATATAAAGTATATAAATAGGTATACAAAACAATATTAGATAACTATGTTGTAACCAAAACTAACAGCCAGGTATTCCTCCAACTCTCGCTTTTCACGTTCTTCTTTCTCTTTCCTTAATCGCTCTTGCTCTGCCTCCTCTTCGAGACGTTCCCTCTCTCTTTCTTTTTCCAATTTTTCTTCTCTTTCCTTTTCCCTTCGCTTTCGTTCTTCTCGCTCGATCAGCTCCTGAAATAAGCGAACTATAGCCGCAAGGAACCAACCAGTCTTGGTATCTTAACGTACCTGCTCTCGCATAGCCTTTTTCTCTGCCTTTGCTTGTAACTTGGCAGCTTTTCTTTTACCAATTTTTTCATCTGCTTCGAACAGCGGCACTGCGCTCTCTTCTTCGGAACCTTTGGAAATAGTACAGTTACCAAAAGAAGAATAATATAAAAACCAACTTAATTCAAAGCTTGCACTTGTGAGATCGAAGTTGCGGCACAGCATGAAAACTCGCAGTTTTTCTCAAGTAGTTGATTTGACACAATGGAGCATTGCCACGTTCAATAAAATGGGCCTTGGAGCGAGTACCGCGCACGTGATACCATTGCTTCTCTACTGCTTTATTCCTACCCTAGCCGCAGCATGGCTGTGTTAAACTATACCCGATGTTGTGTCTTCAGAAGGTGGGATCAACGTTGTCCCACATGCACGTGGTGCCATAATTGGCTATGGGAGTATTTCAAGGGAACAATTTCACATACCTTCTGGATCTTCTGGTCCAAGCATTTGATTGATAAAGTCTTCTTCACCATGTTGTACTCGTCGACGAACAACCCGCCGTCGACCTCCGGCGACTAAACGGCCCAAAATTGGAAGAAAGTCTAAAGTGTCAATGTGGAAAACAGACCTTGTGCCTCCATTCGCCCATCTCTTTCGTCGTCTTCAGGCCATTGCGAGAAGTGCCTCTGTACGTCGTCGTGCAGCCGCCTCATCCCACTGGAGACGCAATAACCGGTATATTATGAAGCAGAGGCTGAATAGAAGATATTAGGCGTTCAGACTTCACGATGATGCGAGTCTTGCAACACAAGAGGGGAAAATGGAGGAATTGGAGGGTATCAGGTTGTGTGAAGGCAGCGCCCACCGTCTTGTTGTCCTATACCCCTCTCAAAACACGAGCGGATCCTTGCCGATCCCTACCAGTCACCGGATGGATGCAAAAGTAATGAGCCACGCAGCGCTGCGTCAATGCCCCTTCTCTTGGCCATGTGCAAACAGAGCTCTAGCGATAGGAGTCACCGCAATTAGTCTTGAACAAAAATGGCATGCTACCCTAACAGGCTTGAATGACGCGAAAAAAGAAATAAAACGAGGAACTGGGACTCCGCAGCCTTTTTGGCATCTCATAATCGCCAAGCTGGAAACTCCGCAGTTACTCGAAAACATACTAACTCACGGTGGTGAGGGTTTAGTACCATATAGGGAGGGATTTAGGTGCAGTACTTCACAAGGTTGCTGTGATCCCAAGAACTTGACTGAAGCAACGAAGTGTGGGGAATCTTCGCTTTCCAACCCATTTCTTCGTTTCCTTAATTTTTTTTGAAACGACATCTAATGAAGAGATGATGCAAACTCTGAGCAAAGGATGGCCTTTCTGCCTAGTGAAAAGAATCAAGAGGAAGACCTTACGAAGGGATCGTCGGTAGCGAGTGGAGTCATATTTGACTTGCAGAAAAATGTTTTTGACTCGTCACTCCCCGATTTTTCCTGTTTTATGTGCGCCATATATCCCCCTCCACTTCCACCGCGCAGCGCTTTTTTTGTGGGAAAGAGGCGCAATGTTCGAGAAAATATAAACTGCTGCGAGAGATGGTAGAAGGTGGAGAATTCGGACAAGGCGGTACGTTGATGTCGGGATGGGAAAAAAGGATCGTATTAAAGATGGGAAGTCAGAGGGGAGGGGCGGTCGTAGCTTGCGACGAAAATCTTTTCCCAGGACAGGACGTCCCCTGCTATGCTGTAACTCCAGCCTTTGAAGCTCCTCCTTCTAAACTCAGGAAAGCTTTTCTAAAACTGTTATAGTTAAAACACAAAAGTTTCACGATTATTCCAGAGAATCTCCAGGATTAGAGTGTCTACGGGACAGTTGTGCTCACGATGTGAACCAGTAGCTGCATAATAATTTCCCAATAAGAAAAAACCAAAAGAATCTCCAAGAATCTTATAGAAAACGCTCGCCCGTATAATCACACCGCCCTGCCGTCTCTGCGGCAACCGCTGGCCTCACACCATACGCTTTTATCGCAATCTCCTCTGTACAAATTTATCATCCAATACAAAGCGGAAAAAGAAAGCAAAAAAACAACGAAACACGATGCAGAACTCGGAACTGTAACAGAAGATTGTTAATATTCTTGCGTACGAACAGGATCGCATAGCAATGCAATAACGAGCTTATTGCACGAGTAAATTGCCCATCACGGCTGATTTGGTCACTTTGCTGCTTTGAACAAGTCGAACGAAATCTTGCGAAGATGGCCCCGTTGCCCCTAATGAAAAAAAAGTGTTATAAAGGAGAGTAAAATTACTGATAAGCACGAGCGGGCACTATCCAACTTTTACAACCCCAATCTTGCGAAAACAGTCCAGTTTTTGACCGACTTTTTCTAACAAAGACGGCACATTTGCGCTGAAAACTCTGTTTAGGTAGGTTCGACCTTGTGAACACAATATAAACATACGCTCGACCTGAAACGCCTGCGTGCTTGTGCCACAGATCTTCTTCTTCCCCTAGCGTAGTCCGCACCGTCGCAGGTCCGTATTGTTGTGACGGGTTCCTCCATCAGCCGGCCTGTCAACCTGGGCCTGACGCTGGTATCGTCCCCATTTTTGCAAGGCAGCATGGTTTGTGCCTCGGCAGGGATCGAACTCGTGGCTCAGAGTGAGAACATTAGTCTACACTCTTAACCACTCAGCTATCCCTGCCTTTAAGTCAAGAACGGTAATCACACTTATGAATAGGATATCGAATTGACCCCATCGGCGTGATGAAGTGAGCAATAAAAAATTTTCATTTCGGGATAGAAATTGCTGAATAGTGCCCCCGAGTTGGACACGCAAATCAAATTTATGCCCGCCGCTCCAGCAAATAGCAACAAAGCGCCCCTGAATTTGGCGTTGACAGGACATTCGTTGGGTGGGCGGATCAACTGAGCGGGTGTTAGAACTAGAAATTCGGCGATTGTAACACCCCTCACTCGCTGAGGAGTTCGCGAAGTGAGACAGCTTTTAGGTTGGAGGCTGGACTACTTGCACGGGGAAGACGACACCGATAGTACTTGAATGCGGAGAATGTCTTTAATTCTCAAGAGATCTGCAGCAAAATGCCTACCTCTATTGGACTCGCGCCATTTCTTACCCAGTTATGCATCACTTCAAACACTTACGCGGATAATAGAATTCCAAGTGAACCAATCAACATTGGATCAATTCCATTGCCTGAACCAAGTTTGAACGGTGCCTCTGGCTTGATGTTCAAAGGCGGCTCTTCTCTCATGATGATCTAAATCAAATACGTGAACCAAAAACACTTGCATACAGCTGACAGTTACACGGCGGTTATATAGTGAAAAGTTCCAAAGAATCTACAGGAACACTTCAAAAAGGGAAATAATCCGAGAAAATTTTCAGAAAATAGGAAACCCAATGTTCATTCTTGTGAGTTGTTTTGTTGTTATAGAGAGCAGTAGAGTTTATTGAGCCGATAATCCTGCTACAAAATCCCAGAATTGTCGTGAAGCTGAATAGAGCAGATGCTTCCGGTGACTGGGCCGCTGTGCTGTATTCCATGGTCTACGCGAGCTAACTTATCCACTGGTTCAGTGATGGGTCTGATGTGTTAATGCAGTGCATGAGGGAGTAGCATAGAGTGAGCTTCTACACTCCAGATCTCTGAGATGCGATGGGCGTGGCTGCGTGCTTCACTTTGGGCGGCAAGCTGCATTTTCGCCGAGATACTTCCGTTTTGGGACAGTTCTAATGACGTCTGTGTCCATGATAAGGACACATTGAACATAACAAGTTGCCTCGAACTTAAATATCCTTCGAATAACAATCCTACGCCATGTTCGAATGAAGTGCACAGCCACGCCCACCGCGTCCCAGTGATATAGGCTGAAAGTAGGTGGGGAGAGTAATCAGTTCCAAGCCTTCGATCGAAACCCAAATGCAAACGCTAATAACAAACAAGATGAACACTCGAGGATTCGCCGTTTCTTCAGTTTTACGGATCGATACGCTGCAATTCGTCGATTCTTACCACTTCACGACTCGCCAGTCAGCCCCCCCCCCTAATTCCGCATTCGTCAACCCTATCTAATCTTGTTCGCACATTCGTCAGGCCGCCTTCATATACTGCGTTCATATATATGCTGCAGAAATGCCGAACACGGAATGTGCAAATGCGGAATTTGCAGACCTGTGGAACTGGGAGAAATGCAGAACGTGCAGGAGAAAGAAAGTATGCCTATCGATTTGAAAAACCGCGGGATTGGTAGAAATGTGGAAATGCGAAATCTGCGGAAATGCCGAAATTTCTGCAATTTCTGTTTTCGGCACTGAGGTCTACGGGCTTTTGTCAACCGCGGCAATGGGTGACTCAGCAATTTGTCGCGTCGTCGGTCGTCTCGCACACTCTCGTCGACGCTGCGTCTCCGCTTAGAAAGGCTAGAGCGTAGACAGAAAGGCATCCACCGATCCCGATTGCCGACGATCACCAGTTCACGTGATTGTTGCGTGCTTTGCTCGTGTTTGGTCACTCTCCGATGCTAATGAAAAAAAATAGGAAATCAAGAAGATCTTAACTATAAGAAGGAACTCAGTCCTTCTCGCTTCTTACTTCAAGTATTATTCTTGAAGTGGAATTGGTGTTTGTTGGAAAACAATTGTGGGAATCACCATGCGATTCATCTTTAACCGTTTACAGATCCAAAAGCAACGGGAATGCAGCGCATTTGTTCTCTCGTTCAAGAGCTGGGAGGGAATGAAAGGGGGTGGTGATCTATTGACCAAGAGTTTTGTTCTGCCATGCGATTCATAACACTGCATTTATCAGAGAACTTTTATAACCAGTATAAGTTGCGGCACAGTAGTGCGGATATATGATTCATACCGTATCCAAGAGGGACTGTCTGCCCTTAGATTTAGCTTGTAAAAGCTTTCCGAAACACCCTCTGAATATTCCTTGTATGAACTGTCGAACTACATGGATGTTGCAAGTAAGGACTGTCGAGACACTTGCAGCATGTAGATGATTTATCAGACTATCTTTTCCGATCCCGGAAAGCAGAGCACTTTGAGTGCGTTGGGAGTGAGCGGTCCTAGAATCTCCTGGAAAGAAAGTGAAAGGGCTGGCAGGACTTATCCACCCACTGTCTGTGAATTTGGCCTACTAAAGGCAGTTTTGCGTGTTTTCGAACTTTTCTTCTGTAGCCGATCCTCCGAGCGCAACGAGGAGTGCGAGATTACACGGTCTGTAGGAGTCAGTTGTTATCCTTTCTATAGCACCTTCTATAGCACTCCCATTTCATTCAGGTTTGCAGAGACAATGGAGTGCATACTAGCCACTATACGAATGATCTGCTCCTGACTAATGCTTAGTCTATAAATTGTCGTCTCAGAGCGCATGTCAAGAACTACCTACCTATCACTTTGCGTAGTTTTCGTGACTAGCTATCATTCCTGTTATTGAAGCCGTCCACCTTTCCCCTTGTTTCAGTTTTGAATCCTGTTGACCTTGAAATTCACCCTCCAGTCGCCACTGACACAAAATAAGGGACAAATAGTGAATCCTCAAGGTGTTCTCATTCAGTCTTAACTCTCGTGGCTGAAATCACTTCACGTGTCTTCTTCCTACGAGAGACCGCCTTGCAGGAGAGGACAGACGACGAGCGTACACGCCCATCTCCCGGCGACGGCCGGCACACGTCATAAC